AGGAATGGTAGTAAAGAGAGTACAGGCCTGTCCATTTAGACGGCAGGTGGCGTCTTCGCGGTAGAGGGCGCACAACCAACGAAGTGATAGCGCGTCGAAGATCCCTTGAAATAGCTCTCCGGCCTATAAACGCCCACGGTTTTTACGTGAAAGGCGTGCTACATGAAGTTATTACCTCCAGTGCCCGAATTTTTGGGTTGTATGGCATCTAATTTGATGTGGCGCGAACCTGTAGTAAGTAAGAATGCGTGAGCCAGGGGGAATGGGGCAATTCAGGGGGTGGGGGTGTGTGAGCCACTTAACCTGTGGCAAAAGTTTGGGCCTTAGTGTCTGGTGTCTGGCCTTGTGAAGGAGACGCAGAGGAGCAAAAGGATTAGATGTCACAAGACCGAATTTTCAGATCCGTTCGCGACCGCGCGCGTTTTTTCGCACCCCTTCGAACCAGAGCGGTTCAGGATGACTGCGAATTTCAGCCACCGATGGCTGACGTTTTCCCTCGTAGGCTTTTAGTCTCATCCAGTATGGGGGGCATGTGGTGCGACAATTCTTGTCGGCTACAGAAATTCCAAATTTTGCAAGGGGAGGGAACCCGAGGTGCGTGAACCATTCCACTTAAAGGACGAATTCACGCTGAAAAAGCAACCCATTTCAAATTAACCTAGGGATGGTGAGTGGTACACGAAAGAAGGAAGAACCATGAGAAACGGCCCAGAACCCGAGAAATGGGACCCCTTCCTTGCCCGTTGATTTGAGCATTGATGCGACTCTCATCGCTGTGCCCTCTTCAACACTACGCTCTCTCAGCTATCTAATCACTCGCCACGTATAGAACTGCGGCGAGTGATCAGATGGTCGGTGGGCGGAGATCGCCAGACCCGCCAACTTTGAGGCATGATAGGTCGCCGAGGTCAAATTTTTCGATGCGAATTGCGCATCAGTTCGCACCCTCAGGAGGTCCGTGGGTCCCTCAACTAGGTGAATTACTTCTTCCTCGACCTCCATTCTAATCGTAAAATCCTCCTTTAAGCTTTATACCCTCCCCGGAGCCTCCCTCCCCTGAAAAGTGGATTTCTTCATGCAATATGGACTGTCGCACCGCATGCCTCGGTCCTTAGTGGATGAGACCCTTTTTTTTGAAAGAAACTAAAGTTGAGTTGGAATCAACAATTTTGGCTCAAACTTCCAGTTTATTGATTGCCGTGATCACCACGAATACGACGTCAAGTTTGGTGTAAGAGCCAATTTGACGCCTGGCGCAACTTTGTTTCCACCAAATTCATTGGAAACTTGTGTTTATGTTCTCCCAATGTCTATGTTAGTAATGAATTCGTCCACTCCCTGAATCAGCAGGACTTTGACCATTCACGAGTTTTTCACCGTCACTCAAGATGGGCCTTCTGCTTTCATCTCTCATCACTGTCACATTATCGTGATTGCTTCCTTATGGATTTTGCTTCAATTGTTTTGACTTTGGTTAGATGTTGGACTGTAACTAAATTTTTTCATTTAGGTGGAACAAAATGGGGTGATCGTGGTCATTACGTCTTACCGACCGTTCTTGCAGAAGTGGATCATCGTATGGCTATTGCCAGGGAAGAGGTAGGTTTGCCCATAAATTTCGCGTGTGCGTCCTATCAACTGAGTGCATCTGCTTGTTCGTTAACCCACCATATCCCTGGTGTGCTGTCGCTATGTCGGCCGATTTACTTCATACTCAAAGATTAAACATTGACTCAATGGGAGATGCAGTAGATGAGGGGAGTTGAAGACGGAGTTTACGATGGGCAGCCCCATTAGAAACCAAGGGAGAGGTGGTCAGTGGTTGCCACCCACTTTCATGCCCTTTGATTCCCGTATTGATGCGGTGCTGCCCTCTTCAACGGTAACGTTCTCTCTGTAGGTCCGTACCCCTAGGTGGTCTGCCTGCTTGGGTGGGTTTCGACCAACACCTATCGTAGAATCATCATTACTGCTGTCTCACCATACGTTTTTGAATATTTCCGCCCGCCGCGTCAGAGACAAAGTAGTGAGGATTCGCCGGAATGGATTCAAATGTTAAGAGAATTGATAATCCGCAGGGGCCGCAGTGAGACTAATACCAGGTACTTGTGCGTGACACACCTGCGCGGTCACTGTTTCAGTGAAAGATTCCATGATAAGGACGAAGGTCGAGGAAGGAGAAAATCCACTTAGATGAAAGACAGGGTGGACCTTCAAAGGTGTGTACCGAACACGCACACGTTCAAACGAAAGGATATGCATCAGATCTAGGATAGCGTCCCTGCGCGACTGATGGACGTTGCCACGCCCAATTGACTGGCCAACCATTCGCCGCAGTGCGGCAAGCTGACGATTGAGTTTCCTTCATCGTGCGCGGCGGCAAAGGTACTCACATGCGTCCACGCACAAGTGAGCTTTCCGTGCCAAGTAATAAAATAAATGAAGTGCATCTATAACACATATCATACTTTCAGATTATTGGGCCGGTCAAGAAATTGATACGTTTTGAGTCGATGGAGGATCTGCTCAAAAAGTCCAGCGTCGCCCAGAACGCCCCACCTGCCGCCGTAATCACGAAAGATGCCGATAACGCTAAACATATCGCCCAGAAGACGTCATCTGGATCAATATGGTAAGCCCTTATATTCTTTGAATATTAGTGAAAGTTGTCAAAATTTTACAAAAGTATAAGCGAATGTTTTCCAGGGTGAACGGCGAAAGTCGAGGTAAAAGTGGTACTGTCATGGACACGAATAAATATTTAGGTAAGTTACAAAATTCGGCGCTACTTAGCCCTAGCTGCCCTCACTTTTCTGGGATTGGGGTGGATTTTTCTCGAGATTTGTCTTCGTTGTGAAATTGGGCTAGAAATTCGACGGCAGTTTGAATGGTAAACACCAATATCGCATCCGCTTGGCGCTCAAGCGCAGTTGCCAAGTCGCCGAAGACTTTTGGATCATCAAAGTTTCCCAAAACTTCCCCCAACTCTGCTCAAAGAACATGAATATCATACTCTTTCGTCACCAAAATGCTGAAACTCGCGCTATGGGCCCCACGCCAAATAGCGCTGGCGCCTGTGAAGCGGACATCAGGCGCCTTCTCATCAAATGGATATGGTGTTCGAGTTCTACGGCTCAGACTACCGTTGGCGGCAGTTGGGCTAAATTCAGTAGCGTGACAAATTTCGAGATTTCCACCTCAGTCTTGGAAATGTGGGCCGGTAAAGGGTAAATACTGCCAAGAAGTCAATAACACTGTAAAGGAACAAGTATGAGGTGCTGATTTTCAGGTCAAAGACATTCTCCTGAGACGACGAGAGACGTTGCCAATTTGATTGGAATTACAAATAATAGTAATTCATTGAGAAGGAGATCTTTTTGAAGACAGCTGGTTTTATAGAAGATATCTCAATTCTCTGATGGGTATGTACATAGCCGTGCCTGTACATACTCGTTTACGAACTCATTGTTGGTGATATGGATGACCACCGCATAATAATAATAATAATTGTAATAATTATAACGATAGTATATCGTCAATAAATATGATATTCCCAACCGGATTCTGCAATCAATCGTGGTCGTGTGCGGTCGTGTTACGCCTTACTGTCCCGCTTTTTCGGCTCACCTACTTTCATCAACTCAGAAGTCTTGAGCTGATCCACGACCTCCTTGTCTGGTTTCTAACGTACTACTGCATTACTCTGGCTGCTACTCTAGCTATGAAATCTGCTTCCTTCGCTGTAGATTCTACTTCGGCTGGACGCAATCTATTCGATGGTGATGATAGCCCGGATCTGCTCAAGCGACTGGAAGCACAGGAAAGTCTTCCTTCTTACATTAAGCTGTTGATTGGTGTCCTGATTGAAACTAAAAAAGAGATTTCTGATCTAAGTCGTCTCTGTGATTCCATCCTCGCCGAGAATAAAGTTCTTCGAGAGGAGAACGAATCTTTGAAGTCCCAACTAAACATTTTGTTACCATCTCCAGGTGTGAGCGCCTCAAAAGAATTTAGTTCCAGTTCCTCTCAAACGCAGAACGCGGATTCGAGTTCATCAAAAATCGATCCTGATATGAGTCGTTCGATTGTGGTCTCGGGCGTTCCAGAAGGTCAGTCGCCCAACTCGGTCGATAGAGCACAACATGATCTGCATTGTGTACTCGCTCTTCTCAACTTCTTAGGTGTGGAATGCTTACCTCCTCTTGTTTTTCGCATGGGTGTCAGGAACAGTTCTCGTCCAAGATTACTTAAGGTCATTCTTCCAAATGATAGGTTTCAGAAAGAAGTGATTAGGCTAGCTCCTCGCTTACGTTTTTTTCCTCTCATAAGGTCTACTTCGGGGCCCTCGCTTGACTTCAGAGAGAGAAATGCGCAGACCAGAACCTCGGGTGCGGTTCTGTCACAATAAACTCTGTGCGAACGTGTACTCCAAGCGATCGTCCAATGTCACATTATTCAAAATCAGAAAATGTGATGAGATCCGGATTTCCGGGAAACCTCTGATAACTCCTCGGCTCCAACCGAGACTCAAGTGTCTGCTTTCAAATATTCGCTCAATTATCAAAAACCACAGTTGTTTAGTCTTTACTCTACTTCATTCAAACTATGATCTTGTTCTTTTAACGGAGACTTGGTTAAATTCGAACCATGACACAGCACCCCTTCTAGGTATTATAAATTCCCAGTTTGATGTCATCCGCTGTGATCGGCTCCATAAGAAAGGAGGAGGAGTTCTTGTACTAGTCCGCAACACTCTTTCTTTTGAGATTGTTTTCAAAAAGTCCCTTAAAGAGGCATATGAAATACTTGTTGTAAACTTGTTTGTCCGTCATTTCAAATTCAGGTTAATATTAGTGTATAGAACCCCACTTTGCAATGCTCATGACTCTAGCCTTTTACTGAAGGTTATAAGTGACTTTAGCTGTTATGAGGCACCCTGCCTACTGGTAGGGGATTTTAATCTTGCCGATGTGGATTGGAACTCGGTCAACTGTAGCGCTGGTTGTTGCGCCGTAACTAAAGAATTTGTGGACATGTTTTATTCCCATAATTTTGTACAGTATGTAAAAAGCCCCACACGTGGCTCCTCGTATCTCGATCTGATCTTTTGCAACGATGTCGCGTTGATCGGGGAGGTTGAAGTACTGCCCCCCATTGGCAGCAGTGATCATGCATCCGCTGAATTCACTCTCAACGTTAGTCCACCCACCGTTACTCAGCGAAAATGGGTAAGAGATTTTAGCAAAACTAAATATGAAGCCATCGAACAATATTTAGGAAACATTGACTGGGTTGGTTCCTTCTCTACGGTAGACACCGTAGAAGATAAATACGAACTATTTCTAGCCGTCCTTGGTGATGCGGTGGATAGATATGTGCCTCTACGTCTAACTAAAACTACTCGGTACAAATTTCCCCCCTATCTGGTTAGAATGATACACCGCCGTAGCCATCTATGGGCCTGCGCGGTAGCCGATGATAGTGAACCCAGTTGGGACGCCTACAAAGTCTTCGATAGAAAGGTGTCTAAATGTATAGCTAAATATAACGCGTATTTGGAAAAAAAATTAATCGATTCAAAGGACCCCACTAAATTGTTTGCGTATATCAATAAACGACTCAAAGAGACTAGAAAGATACCAGCATTAGTTGATTCTGATTCAAATCTTGTCACGCTTGACGAGGAAAAAGCTGAGCTTCTTGCTGATCAGTTTCAGCGAGTTTTTGCGGTAAACAATGGCTTGGTCCCTGTCGAGCTTCCCCCTAGCTGCTTTACAATGATGCCCACACTGTGGTTCCATAAGGAAGAGATTTATGAGTTATTAACCCAATGGCCAGACTCACACTCGGTCACCTCAGATTTCCCCCTTAAGTTCATCAAAAAAATTGCATTTTACATTGCCTTCCCCTTGGAACTTCTGTTCAACCTTTCATACATACGATCGGAAGTTCCATCTCGGTGGAAACATTCCTTCATAGTTCCCATCCCCAAAAAACCTCCTTTCAGTAGTCCTGCGAGCTATCGGCCGATAAGTATCACTTCAATTTTTTCGAGGCTTTTCGAAAAGATAGTAAAGCTCAGACTGACAGAATACTTTGAACTTCACAACATAATCCCTTCCTGCCAGCATGGTTTTAGGGCCGGACACTCTAGAAACTGTTGTGTTTTTTTATTAACCAGATTAGTCCCCCGTCAACCGCCGGGACCTTCCTTTCCTGCGCAAGCTTTCTATCCTCCGCTATGGTCCCTTCCTCCTGTGACACCAACACCTCCTGGAAGTGACGCGTATGCAACACAATGGTGTTTCAAACAGTAGAAGGGACACAATCATGATATGACGGTAGATTTTTCGCTTCCCTTCCTCATCCTCCCTTCCTCTCTCCACTGCCCTCCAGCTGCCACTGCAGCACCATGTGGAATGAACGGAAGTGTGCTAAGCAGGTGTTTATATAGCCCTAAGAGTGTTATCACAACTATCCTGCTACAAAACATTGATATCTCAAATCCTGTAAGCTACCCGATTTGTTAGCGGTTTGTTTATCCCATGAGCTTCCTTCTCACTCACTTCATTTTGCGGACGGACACACATACATACACACACACACACACATACATACAGATACACAAACCGACACACAAAGTTAGCGCTTTATATAATAGAAGGACCGGTTTTAGGCTCCGGCCCGCTATTCGCGCGCATTCATAGACTAGACTCGATGAGCCTTTAGGGAGATTTTACCGCTAAATAATTCTATAGCTGTTCGTTAAATGTATTTACAGTCTTAATAGGCTGCCCATCTTGGCTGTATCTCACTGTTTGATAAGCGCAGTGAAGTGCACAGCTAAAGTGATGATGTAAACAACCACTATGCGTCGAGTATCGAGGTAATTTAGCGGTCGAATATCTCAAAACGGAATGCCTAGTATTCATTATCATATTTATTCGAGCATCCCATTCATCCTCAAGAACTCTAGAAGGTGTAGCGGTCGGAAGGAGTTTACAATTACAACGCTGATGAAATGATATTGAAATGAAAGGCATTATCTACAATCTGCTCTCTATTTTCTATTTCAAGTGCTCTCTACGTTCGTACGCATATCGTTCCTATCAGTCCTCTCGTTATCACTTTTTGACCCCCACCAAATATGTTCCCGTCCCACCCCTATATCATGCCCCAAAATCAGCTCCTGACGACTGCTGCGAAGCGCACTATGAATTTCGTGAAATTTGTGTTTCAGCGCCTCTTATCTACTCTTATCAGTCGTTATCACTTTGTGACCCCCACCAAATATGTTCCCGTCTTACCCCCTATATCATGCCCCAAATCAGCTCCTGACGACTGCTGCGAAGCGCACTATGAATTTCGTGAAATTTGTGTTTCAGCGCCTCTTATCTGCTCTTATCAGTCGTTATCACTTTGTGACCCCCACCAAATATGTTCCCGTCCCACCCCCTATATCATATCAAAAAATCAGCTCCTAACGACTGCTGCGACGCGTGCTATGAATTTCGTGACACACACACAGACAGACAGACAGACTTAGCGCTTTATATATAGTAGGGATATATTTTTTACGACTGCTTTTAATTTTTCTCTTCCCAAAATGTTGCTATTTCTCGGCAAATCGGTTGTTTTTTTTGTCTCTGCTATCGTATTGTTCCCACGCAGGTACCCTGCGTCCAAATAAATAAATATAGCCCTCATAGCATTCCCTTATATATTAACCTTGTCACATGGAGCACTTTTTAACATCTAATTGGTGGATTTGTGGAAATTTTTAGGTGGACGTAGAAGTATTGAGGCGCATTGGTATAAGGTTATTACCTGAAGACACTTCTTTGTTTTTACTCGTTTTTTTTCCTTCGTGATCGCTAGCCAATGACCAATCGCTAGCTGACCTCGTAATTACCCTACGCTGCGAGGGTCAATGCCTCGCGGTGTTATCACTCCTCTTCGAGGCATGTGATGACGGGCTTTTTGAATCCGCTAGCTCGTATTTTGGAGGTCCTTTTCAGATTTCACGTATTGGAAGGAAGGTGAAGAGCTGATCCATGGTGGTTATGGCTGAAAGCAGCGATCTCTTGACACAGCATGCAAAGTCATGGAATGGGAGACACGGCTCCATCCTACGTAAGTTAGATGTTCCAAGGTTTACCTACTGTACTCACTAGCTTTTAATTTACTATAGCGCAGCGGCACCACTCTTATAGACGTTCCTTGCAAACCCGCAGGTGCCGTAAATGCAGTGAATTCTACTATTTTATGAAATTTATAAGTTTCTGCGATCTCAGTACCGACTGATTCATTCTACAGTGCGCGTCAATTTTATATGCCACCCCCTAATTTTTTCAGTTTTCCGACTTATTTGGAAATTTCGTAAATCGGCATAGCAACCATCGGTTTCGGCGTGTCGGAAAACTAGGAACGGTGTTGTTTGATTTTGGTTAACGCGTGGATTTGATTTGCTCTGTTCTTTTGAAGAAAATGGGCCGCGTCAAATTCTTATGCCATCCTAAATTTTCTTCAGAATTTCTCATGTCTCTAACGCTATTCAGCTATGGTGTGCATGTAATACAAATGAGGAAATCCTCGACTCATGCAATGCACACAAATGGTGAAGCATTTATAACTGATTAGTTCGGAATATAGCCTTTATACTGGACGGTAGCGGCATGAAAACGCTTTATCAGAGAAACAGCTGTGTGCTCACTAGTACGATCGCTCCTGCTGCTTGTTGTAGAACTCAACGAGGAGTGTATCCAGGCAAAACTGGGGAAATTGAAGTGCTCAAGGAACTCTTAAATTCTCATTTTCCCGCTTCGAATCCGTGGTCAACTTTTTTTGTGGTCTTGGCTCCTTGCGAAGCTCGAAACGTTCACGCTCACAAAGTCCCTTTTTAGAGAGAACACGACTCGTACCTACTACCTGTCTGGTACCCATCACTGAACTCGATCGAAGTTTTCTTATCAAGGCGATGCAATGATGGCCCATGCCACCACTTCGGTGTCCCGTTCAAGTTACAACTGGCCCATGTCATCATTTTCGCTCGCTCGGTACGAAAATTTTTCCAGAGAGAATCCGACAAAGTTCGGCGATGGGTACTACGCGGATTGTGAGTGCAACTCATATTCTCTCTGAACAGAGACTTTGTGAGCGTGAACGCTTCGAGCTTCGCAGGGAGCCGAGACCACAAAAAAAGTTGACCACGGATTCGAAGCGGGAAAATGAGAATTTAAGAGTTCCTTGAGCACTTCAATTTCCCCAGTTTTGCCTGGATACACTCCTCGTTGAGTTCTACAACAAGCAGCAGGAGCGATCGTACTAGTGAGCACACAGCTGTTTCTCTGATAAAGCGTTTTCATGCCGCTACCGTCCAGTATAAAGGCTAATATTCCGAACTAATCAGTTATAAATGCTTCACCATTTGTGTGCATTGCATGAGTCGAGGATTTCCTCATTTGTATTACATGCACACCATAGCTGAATAGCGTTAGAGACATGAGAAATTCTGAAGAAAATTTAGGATGGCATAAGCATTTGACGCGGCCCATTTTCTTCAAAAGAACAGAGCAAATCAAATCCACGCGTTAACCAAAATCAAACAACACCGTTCCTAGTTTTCCGACACGCCGAAACCGATGGTTGCTATGCCGATTTACGAAATTTCCAAATAAGTCGGAAAACTGAAAAAATTAGGGGGTGGCATATAAAATTGACGCGCACTGTATATGCTCACAAGTTGCTATTTATGTGCTAATTCATTCTCGAACTTCTTCGGGCTATAGCCTTCCGTCGTTGTTTGTCGTTTATATGACCGAAAATCATCCCTATACAACAAATTGCGCCGTTACGGAGATTCGCCGTGCTCCCTTCCATCTGCTTAGCGGAGCCAAAACGATTCGCATAGTGTGGCAACTAAGAAGAAAGCCACTGTCGGTCGAGGAGATATTGTGCGCTAGCTGGGACAATTTCGCTCCTCCTGTAGGGTTGGCCCATGCGACCCTCGAGAACTTTAGAAAAGTGTTGAGATATAGAACCATGCTAACTAGGCTTGAAATATTTATCCGCTGAACGACGTGAACCTACCACTGACCCTTTCCATGGACTAGACTAGGCAACAGTTCCCATTCGTAACATTTTCCAATGACCAGCAAAAAAAATTTGGAAAAGATTGATAAGTAAAAAAGAGATGATCAAACCCAAATTCTTCATTCTTTATATTTTATCGTGTACATATCAAGTTGACAAAATGAGATAAATTGAGGGAACTGAATACAACGACTGGCCAATGGGGAACCCCATGAAAT